ACTTGTTCGCTGTTCAGTAAATATCAAGTAAATGATGTATTGCTACTTGAATTTCTGGGGAGAGGGGGATATCCGTTTGAGGTAGCCAGATGATACAGGGTAAATCAGGGTCTCCTCCACTTGGGGTTCTTAGTCTTGCTAATAAAAGAATTTAAGAAGGGCTCAAGTGAAAGCTCAAGGCCAATTTTATTAGCTTTGCAAAGAAAAACCTCAGGGCAGGCAAGGTGCAAGCCGTCAGCAGCTGCAGGGAAGGAAGGAGATAGCCGTGGCATCTATGCTAGATGGCCAGACACACGGTGCACAATAGCCCGACAGCAAGGACAAAGCTTTACAGAGAGGATGAAGCCGGTGTGCTAAGGAAAGGATGTTTAGAAGAGAGAAGAATGGGAAATGATAATTCCGAAAAGCAGGAAGACTTAAAACTCTGCATGGCTGTGGCCAACAGGTTAATGCACCGGGGGCTGGGATCCTGGGAAGGAAAAGTTCTCTATCTCATTAGAGGAAACATTTCTCCATCTGTTTCCTTCATGTGCCTTAAGGCGAGTTCCCCTTCTTGGGGATGGTTCTTGGCCAAGCAATGGCCCCAACCATTTGGAATGTGACTTCTCCATCCAGGCCAGAGAGTCAATCATTCTCACCAGTTCTTTTTCTATTATAAAGTAATAGACTCTATGTATTTTTAATAGAGTAGTGTTAAACTAATTTTTCACTATTAAGAAATACAAAATGGCATAGAAAAAAATTAAGACATAAAAAATGCCAATTACAGATTGGTCAAGTAACTTAGAGCAATGCAAAATATAAAACAATTTCCCTTTGAAATTCTTTTAATGAGACAATTATGAAAAAGACATTGGGAACTTTGGGATGTTAAATTGAAGTGAACATAGGGCCTACAACTCTTGCCAGCACCAGGTTGTCACTGTACATAAGTTATGAAGCAAACTCTGTATTTGAACAGTTTTCTGTTGTTTAACATCAGCATTTTTAGCTTCCCTATGCCTTTCAGGCATGTATCCGAGGGCGCTGCGAATTTGTGCATGTTCACAAAAGACATTCACCATGTAAATCAGAGCAGAAGTGCCAAGGACAAGGGGTATGTAGCCATTTTATTTTTCATTTAATATGATCATTTCAATTCACTTGAACAAACCTTTTCCAGAATTACCAGGTTCAGAATTATTTGGTGTGGAAATGCCCTCCAGAAGATTTCAGTTGAATGTACGTTGTTCTATTGACACAGGTGTACACAATTTTTATGCATCATTAGACTGTCACAGGCCAACTGAACAAGGAATCTCTGAATGATACATAAAAATAGAGTGAAATATCGTCACCATATCTGAGTATTAACATATAGCAGAGTATTATCATGTACCACACATATGTGGTGTACCCACGTATCTGTGTGCTTTCTAGGAATGTACTTGCTCCAGACACTGGGTTTTAGTGTATACATTACTTCTACCTGACACTGAAGACATCAGAGTTTCTGGTCTACTCCGATTAGGTCTGTTTATTTATGACCTCAGTTAATTGCCTTTGTATATTCACTCACTGATAGCCTTTCAAATAGCACGTAACTATTACGAATACTGAGAAAAAAGTTATAATCCCATGTTCAAATCACTCCATTTCCCCAAATTATAAGAAATGAAATCTAGTGAGCCAAATATATGTAACATTTCCATTCTCTTTAAGAAATACTGGGAGTTTTGTACCCACACAGCATGCACGAGATCGTGAGAACCTACATTTCTAATATTCTGGTGAGACTGTCTGATCTCTTCCAGCATGCTGAATGCATTGTGAATGGCACCTATTTAGTCCCTAATGTTTCAGCTTTCTACCTTTCCAGCTGTTGTGACGTCATATGGTGAGTTATGGCAGTCTGGAAGTTTTCCCAGCTTACATTTGCATAAAGTGTACCAGCAACTGTGTGCTTCAAAACCCATGCTCCTTCTGACAGTCACATTGGAATTCACCCACATTGACTCACTTCACTCTCTGTGGCACTGACCCTGGAGTTCCCCCTCTGCTTCTGACCATCCTTTTTATTTTTCCAAGAGTCTTTCCAGCCTTCTGTATGAGTTAATATTTGCCTTTAGCACATTGGCTTCTTCGAGGTATTTTCTTTCATCTTCCATAGAAGTTTCCTCCCATCACAGCTTTTTTTAGTCTAAGTTAATAATAAAATGTAATTTATATTCATAGTAGCTCTATCTTTATAAATAGTCATTTCAATTACACCAAGAACATTATAACTTCTATTTAGAAACATGACCAACAAAAAGATAGGATTTTAAAAAATCTAATGCAAGCACATTTATTGGCTCATTACTGTTTTTACTTTCATAGTAAAACTGCTTAAACTAAATTGCAATAGTTGATTAATTTACACATCCTAATTATGGGTAATAAATGACTTTTCTATGTATACATATATAAGCACTTGGTTGCACAGTTTTCATTTGGATCTGGTTTCAGGTTTGCAACAATCTAAACCACTGTCACTGTGATGCTGGTTTTGCCCCTCCGGAGTGTGACATGACACCTTCTTCTCCAGGAGGGAGCTTAGACGATGGATTTTGGCTGCCCATGGGTTAGTGTCCAGAGCAGGGCCTGCATGTGTGTAAGTACACTCCACCTCAGCAGCTCGCTGTGGCCATTGAAGACTTGACATTTCAGGAGCACAGATGAGAAGTTGATATTTCTACTCTGCTTGACTTCATTTAAATTCAGAGAATCACGTGAGGCTATTTTAAATCTAATCTAGAAGTGTGGATATTTAACAAGGCTTCTTCCTCTGGTTTTGTCATGGCTTGCAGAACATTTGTAGCATGCTTTTCTGCATAAACTTGAGTTTCAGAAATGAGGAGAATGTACTGCAGTCTGTATTGCCCCAGGGAGTTACATATGAAAATGTGCTGGTTCACAACCAATTTGCCTGTTTAAAACCGTGTGTGTGTGCACGAGTGCACGCGCACACGTGCTTGCATGTGGGGTGGGGAGAGAAGATAACCAGAAGAAGAAATCAGATTCCTTGGAGCTGGAGTTACAGACCTAAAGTGAGTGGCCCAGTGTTGGTGCTGAGAAGAAAATTGGTCCTCTAGAAGAGCACTAACTACCTAACCGCTGAGCCCATCTCTTCAGTCCTGGCATATTTAAAATGAATTGTTCTATTTAATGTGCAAAGTACCCAAATCTTCTATACCCTCAGATCATGATTACCGTGTGCCACTGAAACATTTGGCGGAAAGTAATGAACAACCAGCCACTGCCCATTTGATTTTATCAGATCTGTTTTGTACAGTTAGAATTCTATGCTGCTATATGCACTTTCTGTATGGAGCCAAGTATGCCAATGTAACCATTTCATTTATAATTAATTATATGTATAAGTAACTTACTATAGGAGCTTGGTGACAAAGAAGCTACAGACTGTAAGATTAAAGTAAAAAAATGTCTCAGGAAAGCTACTAAAATGCACTCCCTCAACCCAATAGGATGAATTTTTTCTTAGTAGATGAACTAGAGAAAGTTTTATTTAGTTGAAATAATTACAGTAATTATTATATTGTTGATGTCCTATATTATAGTTTTAGTAGTATAATCTATTAATGTATCTTAATCTGTGTAATCATTTATGTCAGTTTCATTTCTAGATTTAGCAAATCAAATGTTATTGTCACTGATTTTATGTTTCTTCAATTCCCATGTATTTAAAGTTATGGCTATACAGATAAAGATTTTTTGGATATGTAAGACTTTAAATACCAAAGTGCATATGATTTTTGATATAGCATATCTTTAAAAATTGTAAAAGCTATGTGGTGTGTGCACATGCCTGTAAACATTCATGTACAGACCAGAGCAGGGCACTGGGTCCAGTAGTTTGTTGCTTTCTACCTTATTTTTGAGATGGGGACTGTCACTGCTCCTGGAGCTCTCCCCGCTTTGGCTAGGCTGGCTGGCCAGTCTCTACCGACTAATGCTGGGCCACCTTCTTTTTACTTGGATTCTTTTTATTGCAAGCAACTGAATCCAAGGAGCAGTGAGTGCTGGGATATTGCCCATTCTTGACAGGTACTACAGTCACAGTGACTCACTCCAGGCCCAGAAGAGGGCACCTCAGGACCCTCTTCCCACCCTCTGGACTCTTGCTCTTCCATTCTTTCTGCCCTGTCTTCTCTGAGGTTGGGGGCAGGTCTTGAGACAGATGTCCCCTTTAGAACTAGGAACTAACTCAACAGCCTCTTACTCTTCAGATCCTTGGCTTCATTGATCACCCTCATGTTTCTACTCTTACTTTCTTTTTCTTTTGTGATGTTTCCTTGGGAATTTATCTAATGCACACTCACAAGACTCCATCACTATGGGATTAGCAATGATTTTCACACCTGGATTTTCATGTTTCCTTATGATTCTGTGTTGGGAATCGTAAGAGTGTAGGCCATTGATTGGAGGTTTTTAACCACCCACTTTGAGAGAATGGAGTTGAAAAGGCTCAGAAAAAGAACAGTTGTAAAACAACAGAAGGGTTTTAAAACTATGAACAATTAAATCCAAGGGTAAAGATTTTTGGAACAACAAAATAAAATAAGAATAAAGTAAAATAAAAAGCTTCAAGTATCATCGTTTTCTTGCTAAAATATGTTTTGTTGATCTCTCTGGTTTAAGAGACCAAATAGTTCTTTCCAAAAGAATTTTTGAATTTCTATTTATTTTTAAATTTAAATTACAAACAAGGTTGCTTCACATGTCAATCCCAGGTCCCTCTCCCTTTCCCTCTCCTCCTCCCATGCCCTCCCACCAACTTCCCAATACCCCCTCATTTACCCAGGGTTGGTGCGGCCCTCCATGGTGGTGTCCATTGTCTGTTATTTCATCAAGGGCAGGTCCTAGATCCTGCCCCAAGATCCAGTCTGAGATAGCATCTCTCATTGTTGGACGGGAACCCAAATTCCATTTGTATGCCAGGGATAAGTACTGATATACTACCCAAGGCCCAATAGATTGCCTAGGCCTCCTCACTGACACCCAGATTCATGGGGTCTTGATAAGTCCCATCATGCTGGATTCCCAGGCATCAGTCTGGGATATTGATTGCTAACCCTTGTTTCTGGGGGTTAACCAGCCCAGTCTTAACCCCTTTATGCATTAGTCCTCCCTCTCTGTCACTGGGTTCCTTGAGTTCAGCTCAGTGTTTAGCTGTGGGAGTCTGCATCTACTTCCATCAGCCATTGAATGAAGGTTTTCTTTCCCAGACTCTCTGGCCATGGGATTGTAGGCTGGCACTCCCCTGATTCATGTCTAAAATCCATATATGAGAGAGTACATACCATGTTTGTCTTTTTGTGACTGGGTTACCTCACTCTGGATGGTTTCTTCTAGTGCCATCCATTTACCTGCAAATTTCAGGATTCCATTGGTTTTCTGCTGAATAGTACTACATGTGTAAATGTACCACATTTCTCTATCCACTCTTCAGTTGAGGGGCAACTAGGTTGCTTCCAAGATCTGGCTATTATAAATAATGCTGATATGAACATAGTAGAACAGATATCCTTATTGTATGAATAGGCATCTTTTGGATATATGCCTAAGAGTGGAGTTGCTGGGTCTTGTGGTAGACTTATTCTCTTTTTTCTGAGGCCTTTCCATACTGATTTCCAAAGTCGTACGAATCGGCACTCTCACCAGCATAAACAGTCATTGCTGTTTTTGATTTTAGCCATTCTGACAGGAGTTGCTTTGATTTGCATTTCCCTGATGGCTAGGGATGTTGAGCACTTTCTCAAGTTCCTCTCAGCCCTTTTAGACTCCTCTACTGAGAATTGTCTATGTAGTTTTGTAGCCCACTTTTTAATTGGATCCTTTGATGTTTTGGAGACTTGCTTCTTGAGTTCTTTGTAAATTTTGGAGATCAGCCCTCTGTCAGATGTGGGGTTAGTGAATATCTTTTCCCATTCTGTGTTCTGCCTTTTTGTCTTATTGAGTGTGTTCTTTGCCTTACAGAAGCTTCTCAGTTTCAGGAGTTCCCATGTATTAATTGTTGATCTCACTGTCTGTGCTACTGGTGTTATTTTCAGGAAGCTGTCTCCTGTACCAATTCATTCAATGGTACCACCCACTTTCTCTTCTAAGAGGATCAGTGTTGCTGGACTTATGTTGATGTCTTTGATCCATTTGGACTTAAGTTTTGTGCATGGCGATAAACATGGATCTATACTCATTCTTCTACCAACCAGCATCCAGTTATGCCAGCACCATTTGTTGAAGATGCTTTCTTTTTTCCATTGTATATTTTTAGCTTATTTGTCGAAGATCACATGTTCATATATGTATGGATTAATATAAGGGTGTTCAATTCAATTCCATTGGGGTACCTGCCTGCTTTTGTGCCAATACCAAACTGTTTTCATGACTATAGCTCTGTCATAGAGGTTGAAGTCAGGGATGGTGATACCTCCAGATGTTGCATTGTTGAGTAAGGTTGTTTTGGCTATTCTGGGCCTTTTGTTTTTCCATACAAAATTTATTATTGTTCTTTCAAGGTCTGTGAAGAATTGTGCTTGTATTTTAATGGGGATTGCATTGAATGTGTAGATTGCTTTTGGCAGGATTGCCATTTTTACTACATTGATCCTACCTATCCAAGAGCATGGGAGATCTTCCCATTTTCTGGTGTCTTCTTTAATTTCTTTCTTTAAAGACTCAAAGTTCTTGGGATACAGGTCTTTTACTTGTTTGGTTACCATTACCCCAAGGTATTTTATGTTGTTTGTGGCAATTGTAAATGGTGATGTTTTTCTGATTTCTTTCTTAGCCCTTTTATCATCTGTATATAGTAGGGCTACTGATTTTCTTGAGTTGATCTTGTATCCTGACACTTTGCTGAAGGTGTTGATAAGCTGAAGTATTCCCTGGTAGAGTTCTTGTGTCATTTATGTGAACTCTCATATCATCTGCAAATAGTGAAAGTTTGATCTCTTCCTTTCCAATTTGTATCCCCTTGATATCCTTTTGTTGTCATATGGCTGTAGCTAGAACTTCAAGTACAATATTGAAAAGGTATGTAAAGAGTTCACAGCCTTGCTTGTTCCTGATTTTAGCAGAATCGTGTTCGTTTCTGTCCATTTAGTTTGATGTTGGTTTTTGGTTTGCTGTATGTAGCTTTTATTATATTTAGGTATGTTCCTGTTATCCCAGATCTCCCCAAGACCTTTGTAATGAAGGGGTGTTATATTTTTTCAAAGGCATTTTCTGCATCTAGTGAGATGATCATGTGATTTTTGTTTCTTGACTTGTTTATATGGTGGATTACATTGATCTATTTTTGTATGTCGAACCTTCCATGCATGCCTGGAATGAAGCCGACTTGATCGTGGTAAATGATTTTTTTGATGTGTTCTTGGATCCAATTTGCCAGTATTTTATTAAGTAATTTTTCATCAATGTTAATGAGGGATATTAGTCTGAAGTTCTCTTTCTTAGTTTTATCTTTGTGTGGCTTTGGGATCAAGGTTATTGAAGCCTCGTAGAAAGAGTTTGGCAAAGACCCTTCTGCTTCTATTGTGTGGAATACTTTGAGAAGAATTGATATAAGCTGTTCTTTGAATTTCTGGTAGAATTCTGCACTGAGGCCATCTGGACCTGGGCTTTTTTTTGGTTGAGAGACTTTTGATGACTGCTTCTATTTCCATAGGGGTTATAGGTCTATTTAAATTGCTTATCTGTTCTTGGTTTAATTTTGGTAAGTGATTGCTATCCAGAAAATTGTCCATTTCCTTTATATTTTCTTATTTTGTGGAGTACCCGTTTTCAAAGTATGAACTGATGATTATCTGGATTTCCTCAGAGTCCATTGTTATGTCCACCTCTTCATTTCTGATTTTATTAATTTGCATGTTCACACTCTGTCGTTTTGTAAGTTTGGACAATGGTTTGTCTATCTTGCTGATTTTCTCAAAGAACCAACTCTTCGTTGCATTGATTCTTTGTGTTGTTTTCCTATTTTCTAATTTATTCATTTCAGCCCTAAGTTTGATTATTTTCTGGTGTCTACTCCTACTGGGTTGAGTTTGCTTCTTTGTGTTCTTGAACTTTCAGCTGTGCTGTTAATTCTCTAATATAACTATTGTCAAGTTTCTTCATGTGGTCAGTTAGTGCTATGATCTTCCCTCATAGCACTGCTTTCAAAGTGTCCCATAGCTTTGGGTATGTTGTGTCTTCATTCTCGTTGAATTCTTAATTTCATTTTTATTTCTTCTTTGACCCAGGAATGTGCATTATTCAATTTCCATTAATTTGTAGGGTTTCTGCAATTTGTGTTGTTGTTGAATTCTAATTTTAATGCATGGTGGTCTGATAAGATACATGGAGTTATTCCAATTTTTTGTAGCTGCTGAGATTTGATATGTTGCCAAGTATGTGGTTGATTTTGAGAAGATTCCATGTGGTGCTGAGAAGAAGGTATATTCTTTTTTATTTGGATGGAATGTTCTATAGATGTCTGTTAATACCAATTGGGTCATAACTTGTATTAGGCCCTTTGCTTCTTTGTTAAGTTTCTGTCTGGTATTCCTGTCTAGTGGTGAGAGTGGGGTGTTGAAGTCTCCTACTATAAGTGTGTGAGGCTTTATAAGTCATTTGAGTTTTAGTAATGCTTCTTTTATGGACGAGGATGCCTTTGTATTTCGTCCATAGATGTTCAGAATTGAGACTTCATCTTGGTGGATTTCTCCTGTGATGAGTATATAATGACCTTTTTCATCTCTTTTGATTGATTTTATTTTAAAGTCTAATTTTTTAGATATTAGGATTGCTACCCCTCTTGTGTCTTGGGTCCATTTGATTGGAAAATCTTTTCCCAACCTTTAACTCTGAGGTAATGCCTGTCTTTGAGGTTGAGGTGTGTTTCTTGTATGCAGCAGAAGGATGGGTTCTGTCTTCGAATCCATTCTGTTAGCCTGTGTCTTTTTATGGGTGAGTTAAGGCCATTAATATTGAGGGATACTAATGTCCACTGATTGCTCATTCTTCTTTGATTTGGAATGGTGGTTGTTGTTGGAATTATGTGTGGAATTCCACCCCTTTTCTTCTTTTGGCATATCTAACGCCTATGTTCAAAAATATGGAATGCTTCATGAATTTGCGTGTCTTCCTTGCCAAGGGTCATGCTAATCTTCTCTGTATCATTCTAATTTTAGTATATGTGCTTCTGAAGCGAGTGCAAGATTTTTGCAACAAAATAAAATAAGAGTTTAAAAAAGCTTCAGGTAACATCGTTTTCTTGCTCAAATATGTGTTGTTTATCTCTCTGGTTTAAGAGACCAAATAGTTCCATGCAAAAGAATGTTTGAGTTCATATAGCATATATAAGAATTAATTCAAAAGGAACCTACAGTATATAAAAGTAAAACTAAAAAGTCATAGAGGACAAAACAAAGTAATTCAGATCACTCACTGGTCTAGTCAATTACAATTTTTGAAAATTAAATGGCACTTTTTCATTTTCAGATAGAAGTACACCCTTGGTTGTCAAGCGGCGTGATGCTCGCTTTAAAAAGGGACTTCTGATCAGTTTGTATGTTTTACTACCTTTCCTCATCATGTTCGCCATCACTGTTGTCAAGCGGAATATCACAAAGAGATTCTCGCAGAAAGAAGAGGCTTTAAGTGGAGAGTAAGTATACGTGTTAATGTTAAAAATGCTCTATGGAGGTATCTTAATCCAGCTAAGTAATACAAAAAGTAATGGCTTTTTGGATGAATGGTTCATTGTAAATATTGCTAGAAGTACTGCGCAAAAGGTTTTCAGGATATACCAAACCTTATTTCAGTTTTCTGATGGGCAGCCTTTCATGTCCTGATGTGCTAAAGACACTTGGAGCAACCCAGTATCCTCAGGAGCATTCAAATGGAAATTTCCCAGCAACCCAGTGTCCTCACACTGCAAGTCTGTTTTACACCTAGGGTATCAATAGAGACAAATTTGGAGCAGATCTGCAAATAGCACATGTAGAAGACAAGGAGAGTGAGCGTGCAGACCAAGGCACAGCAAGGCATGGAGAGCTGATACAGGGTGTGAATGCATTCATTATCACTTGTGTGTTTCTAAACTGCAATTGCGGGGTCATGCAGCTTCTGTTTCAGTCATAATATCAGTGCAAGTCACACTTTGTTTAGTGGGGATTCAGAGACAGCAGAATGCTGAAGTAAATGTAAACAAGGTATCTTGTAGTCCAATCCTGTAAGAAAACAATGATGCCTAATGTCCAATGCCATCTTTAGTTCTCAGATTAGGCAAGGAGCTGGCAGCCACTAGTTACATTCAGGGCAATGTTCCTGATGATTTATATAGACATCTACAAAATAATCAAATTGTTTGAGTCACCAAATTACATGACAGCTGGCATAAAGATTCCTGTACCCTTGGAACATTTTGGGAAAATCTGGATAATTACCAGAAATTTTGACTGCTGGCAAAAGTGCCACAGTAAGGAATCCTGGTTTCAGAACAATGACAAAGGATGTCAAAGCAGCATAAGATTCACAAATATAGGTGGTTTCAGGTTAGAAGGAGGCCAAACTGAAATGCAGCTGAGTCACAGAGTGTGGCTCTCACGCTCTTCGGGGGCGGGGTGGTGATTGCTGTGCCTGCCCTTGACTGGCACATTGGTGCTCATCTTTCTCTCCTTTTCAAACAAATTACCAAACACCTATCCATGCTCACAACCTTTTAGGTCATCCTCTCCCGATGGAGCAGTAAAGAAGTTTGGAAAAATAGCCTAAAGTGAACTGTGCTCTATGTGGATTGATGGTCGCTAGTTAGGTGTTCAAACCTGATGCTACTGTATGTGGCCCAGGAGGACTTTGAATACTATAATGACATGCTCTGTCATTCTTGAGTGTTATAAGGAATCATAAGGCTCTCTAATACCACTAATTTTGCTAAATGCAGTTGAAAAATCTTATTTGAAGTCTCATTTATGGAGGTGAATCCATCTAAATAATTATGTATAGCTACTTGGTGGAAACAAACTATGGAGGTGTAAGAATTTGAAGGTATACATGTCGATGTATATAAATATTAACAACTACTTTGATGGTTATTTTAATATCTCCTCAATTTTCATGTATACAAGGTAGAAGGACACAGTGGTTAGACTGATTGTTTTGAAACCCGAAATTATAAACAAATACATAAATAATTAGCCCAGAAAAGCACATAAAATCTTTGAAATTTAGGATTTGGAAAGAGAAAACACTGGAATGTCAAATCATTATCTGCCATTGGCAAAAACAGGTATTGATACACAGCAATTGATCATTTAGTTCAAATCTGGCGTTTGGCAGTTTTTTAAAATCTTTTTTCTTAATGACAATGTTTATAATCCTGAAAACAATCCTGTCTTTTTTGTACAGAACAATTTCAGAAGACAGTAATAAAGGCAGCATCCAGTCTTAGAGTCAAAGGTGACTGAAGACATCCATTTGCTGACAAAATATTGTAACTATACTCTGAACAAGCCCTCAGTAGGAGTCCAGAGCTGTTTTGGTATTTCCTCACACAGATTCCTAATTGCTAGTTTCCCATGCTGCAACAAGGCCAGCAGAAAGCGTTTGCTCTTAGTATTGTTTTACATTGGTTTGGAAATCTTCATTGTAAACTGCTAGTAATCACATCTTTATCAGAAGTCTCTTGAAAGGAATCTTCAATATTTGCAAACAAACACACCTCTTCATTGAAGGATATAGTTTGCAAACACACAGGAGGTTGTCCTATGACATTTACATGTTGTTCTTCTTCATTACTGAGGCTCTATGGGAATTGTTACCCTGATTCACAAATGAGGAAGTAGATAGGAGTAGTTGTTGCACCGCCTCATGCTTATAGGATGCCAGCAGGTTGTGTGGTTGTAGTTTAAGGCTGGCATGTCTCTTAGTTTCAGACTGTCAGAGTCAACTTGACACATGCATCTCACAATACACCTGGAAACAAGGGGTGGGATTTATGTTGATGGAGGACCAGGAAAGATGATAAAGGCACAACTTCTTGCAAAACAGAATGGCAATTCTTTGCCATAAGAAAAGGTAAAGGAGCCGGGCGGTGGTGGCGCAAGCCTTTAATCCCAGCACTCAGGAGGCAGAGGCAGGCGGATCTCTGTGAGTTTGAGGCCCGGGGGGGGGGGAATGACAGCTTCCAAAACAATACAGAGAAACCCTGTCTCATAAAACCAAAAAAAAGAAAGAAAAAAGAAAGAAAAGAAAAGGTAAAGGAGAAATCCATATGTATTCTATACAATTTTGACTCACTTATGTAAAATTAAAGGTATTTTATATACTACACCTGAAAAAGTAGGAAAATTTTCAAAGCTCAACTAAGCATCACTTCAAACACCATCCAATACATGTCTGCCATTGCACCTGACTCTGATAGCTAAGTTAGCAGGCTGCTGTGTCTCCATCTGTAACTAAATGTTGGGGTGGGTGAGTGGGAGACATACCAGGGCTGAAAGCTTCTTAGTTAGAATTGTAAACGTCTCAGCACCAGCCCCCATTCCCCATATCTTGGCAGTATGTTCGAACCAGATACCCAGATGTGTACTCCCAGGCACACAGCTAATGGAATTCTAGCAGAATTTCTGGGTGCACATTTTAAGGGGTAGCTTTCTAGCACATGAATACCCCAGATGAGAACAGAAGTCAGATTGTGTGGTTACTAGTAAGGATGACAGTCTGACTGACAGTTGGAAGTCATGCAGCAGAATGGATTACTAAAACCAGAGAAGAAGACCTCAGCAGGGTCCTTGGAGACCACATCTGTCTCACTCTGAATAAAAGGCAGGACTCACTGCGCCACTGAGCATGCAAGCTTCTGCTCTAAATGCTCAAAGAGAGCTGTCTGATTTTACTTTGGGAACAGCCTACTATGGTAGAGGTAGAAGTGTAGATGCTGCCCTAGTGTTTCAGAGTAGGGGTGGGAATGGTAGCTCCTGGAGAAATTTTGGAGGTGAATGAATGTATTTCCTTAAGAAACACTGAAAACTGGGTGATGGCAGTGCATGCCCTTAGTCCCAGCACTCAGAGGAGGTAGAGGCTAGTTCCAGGACAGCCTGGGCTACAAAGAGAAACCCAGATATCCTGTCTTGACCCCCCCAAAAGAAAAAAGAAACACTGATAAAACAATGTTTGTTGACATGCAATAGAAGACAGCACCAGCACTGCTGCCAACCAAAATCAACAGCAAACAGGAACCAAAAAAGTAGAAAGAAGAAAATATAATTTCCTAAGTATTGGATACAGACCCCATCTCTTTGTATCCATGTGCATTCTTATTTTTTTTATTTATTTTATTTTTTTATTCTAAAAATGGGCTACTGAGTATATGAATACTAAGAGAAAATATACAAAAACCACAAGCCAATCATAGACAGGTTTTAGGATACAATGATGAGAGACTTCATTAATCCCCACGTGAATGTGGTTCAGTCAAAACTTTTCTACATTGGTGAGAGCAGGATTTCGCCAGATGCAATATTTATTCTATACATTCCTTGGCGTATGGCAGGGAAAATAAGTAGAGCCACTGGCAGAACAGTGAACCAGGAGGAAGCCTGTTGATCACACAGTAGAGGTATGAAGGGGGCAAGTCTGGGTCGCAGGAAAAAACCAACAAGAACAAGAACAAGAAAACTTTTTTGGGAGATGACAGTTGGAAGAGAGTGAAGACATGACTGAGCCAGAATGAAGAGAAATGATAAAAGACCTCAAAACTGACTGCAGAGTGGCTAGTGACACTTTCACATACGAAGTACTACACACAGTAAGAGCCACATGTAGATATCTGAGTGGCGATGTCTGTGTGCATGTATTTGGGGGCGGTGAGTTTGACCTTTGATCCTTTGTAGGGGAGGCAGCGCTGGTGATATGCACAGGGGTTTGGGAAACACTTCTGTCGGCTGGATATTCAGTATGAAAAGACTGAGTTCTGTATTGCTTCTATTTCCTGTCAATGGTTTTCTTTTTTTAAGAGTTATTTCTTTTTAAAATACATATATTGTAATACAGTTACATCACTGCCGTCTTCCTTTCCCTCCCTCCAAGCCCTCCCACAAACCTCCTTGCTTTCTTTCAAATTCACAGTCTCATTCTTCATTAATTCTTACATGACCTGTCTGTACATTATCCTTGAATGAACTGTTTCAGGGCTGGGCCTTTTGGTATGGGATAATCACTTGGTGTGCTCTTTCCAGGGTGAGGCTCTTTGTCCTGCTGGCAGCTTCCCTGAGTTACCTGTAGTTTTCTGTGTAGGGTTGTGGCCTCCTGAGCTTTCCCTCACCTACTTAGCATGTCTACTGTTGTCCTGCTGCAGGTCATGTCTAGGCAGTCCTCTTAGTGAGATGTTTATTGTTGTAGCTTCTGACACCACTAGGAGACACAATCTCAACAGCAAACTCCCTGGCCCTTTGGTTCTCACAATCTTTCTGTCCCCTCTCCCACAGTGTTCCCTGAGCAAGGGAGTGTTTTGTAGATGTATTCATCAGAACTGGACTCCCCAAGTCTGCATTTTGATTGGTTGTGATTTTCTGTGATGGTCTTTGTCTGTTGTAAGGAGAAGCATCCTTGTTGAAGCTAAGAACTACACTTACCTGTGGGTGTAAGGACAGATATTTGAAATGTAGTTAGAGTTAATGCTGTTTTACTAAAGTGTTGGTTCTAGGTTCTTTTCCAAGATCCATGACTTAACCAGTCCTGGGTAATTGGCTAGGTTTCCTGTATCAGACATGATTTCCCTCTTGTTGAATGAGTCTTAAGTCCAGTTAGAGAGTTGTTGGTTACCACCAAGGTATGCGTGCCACTCCTGCACCCTGAGTGTTATTGTGTCCTGCCAGTTGTTATCATTCATGGGCATCACAGCTGGGTGGGGTGTTGGTTGTTTCCTTCCTTCGGAAGTTTGCACAGTGCCTTTGATACTATGAAAGCCAGTCCTCAGGAAGGGCATACTTCAAGTCAGTTCCAGCTGCAGGGCCCTGAGCTTTGTCTGAAGAGCATGGTGTCTTCAGCAATAGGGACTTACATTCTATATGGTTTTCTTTTACTCATGTAAAGTTTAGGGAATGCAGCTGAAATGGGTAAAGCCCATCTGACAACATGCCCTTTCCATGCAGCCATTGCAAACTAGTTACATACGGAACAAAATAAACTGAGAAAAAAACCTAGATTTATGAATTTTTGTGGATCATAGACAGAGAAGGCCAGAAAAAGTACAGTCATGTACTTTGTTATGTTTTTATGTTAATTTATTAAGTCTCTATACCTATAGTTGCATGGTGTGAATTTGGATAGCTTTGTAATTATGATGAGAATTTTATAATGATGAGAATAATGATGAGAATGAAGTTTTACTACTTCCTGTGTTGTTTTTTTTCCCCCAAAGCAGTTATGCAACACCAAAGCCACAATGGAAGAAGGACAAGAAACTCACTCGTACGTGGTCTGTTCCAAGAATATGGACCAGCCGTTTCTGTTTCTGTGACTTCCATTTTACATACCTCCAAATAAAACCCATGGCTGAAAGTGTACAGACTTGTGCCTGTTGATTCTTCCCTCTGAGCCAGGGAGATAAACATTCTAATCTGAGAACAATATCTACTGCTGCTACAACGCACATGCCCAAAGCCAAGAGCAAGCAATCACTCTAGCCTATTCCTCTCCAGCCACCACCTGGCTCCCTCATGTCAAGTTTGGATACCCAGAAGAGGTTTGATGAGTGGAGCACTTCCTGCAGGTCCCAAATAGTCTTTTCTTTTTTCAAAAGGAATTTTCTAGACATGAGTTCCTCAACAGAGGTATTGACAGTGACCCTATGGCCCTCTAAACACTGAGATTTAGGCTATTTGTTGTCATTTGGTGTTGTGTGGCTATTTCTGCTTTTAAACATTCCTCCTGAGGGAAAGAGCTATGACTCAGGAAGCTCACTTTCAGAAGCTGTAAGGCTCATAGGCCCCTCCTTCCCTATGTTTATTAAGCAGAAATGATAGCTGGGACAAGAAGAGGGTTCTTTTCAGCTCCTGTACACCAGGCACAGACTTCTAGGGGTGTAGTTTTCATGAATCATGACAAAATCAAAGATGATTCAAGCTTTTTTTCCAGAGACCCAAATTCTCCTTTTACAAATGCCCCCCCAACTGATATAAGTGTGGAACATCCACTCAACAAAGTATTATTTTTATTCAGCCTTTAAAAGAACAGACCACTATATCACTAAAAGATATCACTATAAAATGGATGAACCCTGAAGTCATCATGCTGAAAAGCCAATCAGGCAAGAATTAGTTTACAACTAGTAAACCAATTTAGGGCTCCTAGTAGCTGGAGATAAGGAAATGATTAGAGTGGTAAAGTCTATAAGACACAGTCATTATCTAGGGGGTAATAAAATCTAAAATTCAGAACCTGGCATTGGTGGTGCACTCCTTTAATCCCAGCACTGGAGAGGCAGAGGCAGGCTGATTTCTGTGAGTTCGAGATCAGCCTGGTCTACAGAGCAAATTCCAGGACAGTCTCCAAAACAGTACAGAGAAACCCTGAAACCAAAACAAACCAAAAAATAAAATTCACATTTAACTATTGTACACAGTCACAGATGTTTTAGCACCACATATTTCTATACCGCAAATGCATGAATGATATAGAATATGAATTATAACAAAACACAAATGCCTAGAAGTCACAAAATTTCATAACTATTTATTTCCTCTTTCCTCACTGCCACAAATATTGGGTACTGGTAACTACCACTCTGTCATGTTTTAGTAATAAAGTCTTAGTTATTAGCAGGTCCTACCTGACTCAGTTTTCACGCTGGCCTAAAGTTGCTATTTTTTGGTTGTTGGACCCTTACCCCACCCAGGAATGTATGCTAAAGTCACAGGTGTGAGCACCCCCTGGATGCAGGAGAGATGGGCTTTGAGTGTGTAGAGTTGGACATCCTTGGGAACACAGGAGGTAGTAGTACATCTCTTTTTCCATAGGCCCTGACTGCCCTTCCCATGTCTATAGTTTCCAAGTGTACAGGCTCACTGTGCTGGCTAATTTTACGTCCATTTGACTCAAGCTAGGGTCACATGGGAAGAAGGACTCTCAATAGGGAAAATCCTCCATCAGATTGGCCTGTGGGCAAACCTGTGGTGCATTTTCTTGCTTGATAATTGATGGGAGGGCCCAGCTCACTGTGGCTTAGACACTCCCAGGCAGGTTGTTCTGTGTGGCATAAGCTGAGGAATTTCTGGGAAACAAATCATTAAACGGCATACCTCCATAATCTCTGCATCAGTTCCTGCCTTGACTTCTTGGATGATGGTCTAAGCTTTTGATGGACTCATGTTGCTTTCAGTCATGGTGTTTTGTTACAATGATAGTCACCGTTAACAAAACACGCATAAGTGACTTTGTAAGACAGCCTTCCTCCCCTTCCCTCTACCAATTATAAGCTAGTACAGCAAGAAAGAAGACAAAAGAGGGGCGCATTATGTTTCATGATTGCTTTGCCAAGATCAAGTTCTGTTTACCTATTTGTCACGTTGATAACTAATAGGTGCATTTCTAGTTTGCTTTACATCTTCCATCACAATACAAGAAAAATGCTAGAAAATTGCAGAAAGCCCAAAAATAACTAAGACAAGTTATGCTTGTTTGTACTTTTATACCTACTGTAAGGGGCTGAGCTAGAAGCTGGTGTCTGTTCTGTAGCAGGTGGAGGTATTGAGCCTCGGATGAGCCATTGGTGGGCGGTCTCCCACGCTGCCCACGTGCCCCCTCGTCTGCCAACGGTCTTGAATAACCTATGATTTCTACTCTTCGATTCAACCATGCCTCTGTTCTTCATACTCGCCGAGTTTGCCATGCTGTTAGCTCGCCTCGGTAAGGCCCTGCGTACCTCTCACTCCTTCCCTTTCGCGGTCCCTTATCTGAGAGAGGATACCACTGTGCTCCTGATTTCCTGCTGATGCCCTTCCTCTATCTTGTCGCGTCTCAGGCCCCACTCCTAGCCCGACCTCAGGCGCAGCCCAATCCTGGACCATGTGAACTCAGGATAATCATGGTGGCTTCTGCTCTGCTTTTGTGTCTGGACTAACAACAGGATCTCCAACTAGTCATTCGAGTTCCCTGCATCCTGGGAAGTGGGGTGCAGTGCTTGTGCTCCACCAGCACCCTCTGATTGATCCCCAGATCCCTGAGAGGAGAAACAGGGTGGCCGGGTTGAACGTTGTGTCTTTTGTGTCTACTAAATCATTTTCAGTGGGCCGTTAGCATGCCATCGGAGTTAGTGCATTGAGGAAGAGAGTGGGTTTATTACAAGCAAGTTCGTTGGTAGTATTTGAGCTCTGGGTGCGCTCAGGAACGCTGGCTGGAATGGGAGTATTATGAATCAGGAAAACAACCCAAAGCAAACAAAATTAAAAACTCCAAACAACAAAAGATATACTGTGTATTTTGCTGCAGATTCCGAAGGAATATGTCTGCATGTCACCGTGCCAGTGAAGATAGAGCCACGCAAGAGTGGAGTTTCAGAAGGGAAGGTCGGTCTTCCAGGTTTCCCACTCGCTACTCGGGTCTGAGGCTGACCTTTCATTGACCACTGCGTTGACTGTAGTAACTTACACAGCACACCTTGTGTTCCTCTCTCCCGGTCCCCTGCCTCACCGTTGTCCCCCGTACCCCTTCCCTCCCCCTCTTTTTAAAGTCTTTCTGTTGTTGTTCTTAAATGTCAAGAAACAGTGACTATTTCCCAGTAATCATTCTGGCAGAAGAAAACATAATATAAAACAGAGGTTGTGCTTGATGGTGACCCAATATGCAAATTAAAAGCGTTGTTAGTAGCTACTAAACAATAAATTGGTTTCCAGTAAAATTCGGACATGTAAAATTGGATAAATGTCAGCATAAGCAGAATTAAGTTAGAGAAAGGATTTTATATATATAGAAAATGTGTGTGTGTGTGTGTGTGTGTGTGTGTGTGTTATATACAGATAGGCTGGGAAATAATTTGCCTGCCTTATTCTAGATAATGAAGGCCCTAACAGCCATTATGTTAGTAGGAAATACTTTTCCTCACTGAGAACAGGGAGGGTTCTATTCTTGACTGCAGTTTGACATATTTTTTTAAATTTGGAATTATGTATTCTTTTGTTTTGATTTTTAAAAATTTAGTCATGGGGGCTAGAAGATGCTTCATGTCAATGGTTAAGGCACACTGACCACTCTTCCATGTGACAATTCACCACTTTCTGTAATTCCAGTCCCAGGAGAGCTGATACCTTCTTCTGGCCTTGCCAGGCATTGACCATGTGTCTTGCACAGACATACATGCAGACAAAATGCCCATATACATCCAACAAACAAGTAAATAAAATGATTCCAAATTTAGTTAACTACCCGGTGTGTGTATATGTATTTGTGTGTGAGTATGTGTGTGTGTGTGTGTGTGTGTGTGTGTGTGTGTGTGTGTGTGTGTATGAGAGAGAGAGAGAGAGTTTGGATGCATACATGCCAGGGTCCCTGTGTGAAGCTGAGAGAAGAGTCTGAGGAAGCCACTTGTCTCCTTCCACCCCAGTCAGTACTAAAGACAGAGCTTACACTGTCAAGGTTGGAGGCTGGCACCCTTATCTGTGGAGCTATCTTACCAGCCTTTATTTGCAGTTCTCGAAGCTGTTTTTACTATGATAGAGTCTACTTCTGAAAATGGTTTTTAAAGCTCTGTTGAGCTATTTCAGATAGTGAAAGCACATATATGAAATGTACACCTTTGTAGAGTGTTGGCACCTGCATACATCTGTGACACCATTAAGACAGTCAATTTACCAAATTGACATATTGCTTTCTAAACTTTCCTTATGTACTTTGGGGCTTTTATTTGCGCCTAGAACATGAACAAAAGGTCTACCTTCTTTAACAAATATTTACATACTCTGTGTGCATCAGTTCCCTAGAGCTGATTCATACTGCATAACTTAAACTTTTTACCCTCGAAGCCACAGTTCTCTATTTTTTCCTCTCTCTGGAGCCTGACAACCAACATTCTCTTGGGTTTCTCTTAAGTTTGACTTTTGTAGACACATCGAGTAAGTATACCCTTGTATTGATCATTCAGTAACTGACATATTTTACGTAACATTGTAGTGTCTGGATTCATCCAAGTAAACATCAACTCTGTCCAGGTCTGGGTTATGAGTCTCTTATCTACAACTGTATGTTCTTGAACTTCCTGTGTGTGTCTACTCATCAGCAACACTACCTGTGTCTCCTACAAAGTTCACAAGTTCCTTTAGCTTAGCTTATAAGAGAGTTGCTGGGTTAGTGCCTGCATCTGTAGACATACACACTGGCTCTGCAATTACTTCCCAGTTTGCTTGGTTTTGTGTAATATGGAGGAGGAGGATGAGCATTGTTGTTACTCAGTAACTCCTGATATTTGGGAGCCCCACCCCTGGGCTATGTCATTGTTCACGGCTTTTGTCTGTATAGCCGCTTAGGCTTTTTTTTTTTTAAACCCCTTTGTAGTTTAGCATGTTGAGAGTTG